TCACCAGCGAAAATTAGTCAATATGGTGATTGCAAATCAATCAACATTTCGCTGCAAATGGCTTCAGCAAACATCTTTCGGGAACCATTTCTTGCCCACCAGAGACTTCTTTATTCGAACAGAATCTTTGAAAACTCATTGATCAAAATCTCATTTTTGAGCTTTTCTACACCATTTCCCCATCCGTTCTTCCATATATCATCACCCTCAAAACCTCGCATGAAGTTTGGACCACGCTTGAACAAAGGCTTCAACTCACAAATCGATCTCGTTTATTCAACTCAAGAACAAGTTACATCAAATACAAATGAAATATCATAATATGCAACAGTATCTCGCACAAATCAGGATACTCGTTGACAACATAGTAGCTACCGGATCGACGGTCGACACGGAATATATTATATTATACATCTTGAACGGCCTTCCCTCTACCTACAACACGTTCAAAACCGCCATCTAAACCTATCTTAGTCCAATTAGTTTAGAAGTTCTTTACTCTCTTTTATGCAGCGAGGAGATCAATCTCCATCAAGAACAAGTCAAAGAATCTTAACAACAACCCGATTCAGTTGTTCTTCTATCAAACTGAATCTCCTACAGTCGGGGACGTTACAACAGGATTCGGGGACGCGGTTCAAACTCACGCCCAGCATCCAACTCGAATTCTTCATCTTAAGGTCAATCCTCATCGCATAGACAGACTGTCAAATTTGTGGCAAGAACGGGCACTCCGCACTAAACTGCTAGCACCGATGTAATCCTAATTACGCTCTGCCATCTAATCCCAAGGCTCTTACAGTTCAACAGCTGCACTCCTCCACAGTGGACTGGATCTTGGACTCGGGAGCTTCATTGCACCTAACGTCTGATCTTGCCAACCTCAACCACGCAACTCCTTACACCGGCGTCGACTCCGTCTCCATAGCAAATGGTAACAATCTTCCCATTCAGAATTCGGGACAAGGCATATTGCCTCTACCGGACTCGATGCATAAGTTACACCTCCGAAACATCTTACATGTGTCGTCTATATCTCACAATTTATTATCCATATCCAAATTAACTGCTGACAATAATATTGTTGTTTGTTTCGACGCTAACAGTTTTTCTATTAAGGATCGCAAGGACAATCAACTTCATCTCCAAGGTCGCAGTCGCAATGGTCTTTACCACATCATAACTTCTCCTAGTCACAATTCTTCTGTTACCGCCTTGAAAGCCTCGAACCAGTCTACCTCTCTATGACATGCCAGGCTTGGACATCTGCATCTTCGGGTTCTTCAAATCTTAGTCAAACACATTCCGGATCTCTGCACTATGTCAAATTCTTCTCTTACCTACATCTCCTGTAACGTGGCCAAGAGCCACAAATTATCATTTTCTTCTAGCATTTCCACTTGTAATAAACCCTTTCAATTGATTCATTCTGACGTTTGGGGAATATCCCCTCAACCATCTCTAAATGGATTTAAGTACTACGTAGTTTTTATTGATGATTTTACGCGATTCTCGTGGCTCTATTTGATGCATTCCAAAAATGAAACTTTTACAAAATTTCAGCTTCTCCACAATCTAATTAAAAATAACTTTAACAGTTCTATCCAAAACTTCAAATTAGATGGAGGCGGCGAGTTTGTGAATAACGTTTTCAAATCATATATTTTAAACAAGGGATTTTTACATACATAACACTCAAAACATTTCAAATTACCTATCTAACACCTAAACTATTAGATTTACATACATACAACTTAAATCCCTGTTTTACACCTTTTATACCACTCCGTTATATCCTGTTTTATATTCCGTCTTCCCCGTTCGTTCGTGTGCGACAGTGGCGGGAGTCTCCACTCGTTCGCACGCAATCTGTTCATCTTCGCTAGTTCTGTTCTCACCAGTTCCGAACATTGTGATTTCTTGTCTTTCATTTATCGCTACTTCCGGTCTCGCAAGTTTCATCCGTTGCGTTCATCTTCGCTACTGTCGGCGCTAGTTCTGCTCTCAGCAATTTCATACATTGCGATTTCCTGTGTTATCGCTACTTCTGTTCTGGCAAGTTTCTTCGCCTTCTCTGGCAAGTTTCTTCTCTAGTTATGCTCTCAGCAATTTCATACATTGCGATTTTTTTGGCTTACTGACGTATTTTTGGCTTATTGGCGCTAGTTCTGCTCTCAGCAATATTTTTACTCCAAAACATTGTGATTTCTTGTGTTTCATTTGGCTTACTGACGTATTTTTGCTTATCACAGAAAATATTTTTGCATACACAGAAATGGAATGGAGTAATTTTTACTTCATAGTCCTTAAATTTGGTGGATTTTGGAATGAGGTGCAGGGTCAGAATCGTTTGAAGTATGTCGGTGGAAGTCAAAAAACGTTAAAGCTTTCGAGAGATGAAATCACTTTGTTGTTGCTAAAAGAACGAGTTGAAGCACTTTGTCATTGGCTAAGGGGTCAAGTTTTCGACTTACATTATCATGTCAATGGAACATCACCTAAGCAGTACATGTTGGTTTCAACCGATTCAGATTTAGTTAATATGCTTAGTAGTAGTTATGAAAGGAATAGAATTGAGATTGTCGTTGTAATGAAATATCACGAGGAAGATATGTCTCAACCACCAAACAGTCAAACTGAAATAGAGAAGCAGTTAACTAAAATGCGTCAAAGTGATATTATAGTTGATGATATGTGCAACGATTTTTGTATACCCCAAACAGATGATGCAAATACTCTTTGTGTTGGTTCTCAATTTCAGGATTCTCAAAGTTTTAAACAAGCAGTTAGGTCTACTGCAATTTTACAGAATTTTGCTATCAAGATGAAGGCTAGTGACAAATCTAGAGTAATTGCTACTTGCGCATACAGAAGTTGTCCATGGAGAGTACGTGCCTCATTGTGTCCTGATGGCCACTCATTCGAAGTTAGAAAAGTATATTCAACTCATTCATGCCCTGGGGTTAATAGGGCTGGTAACAAGCAAGCTACTATTAGTTGGGTAGCAAATGAAATCAAGGACGTTGTGAAAAAAAATCCTGATATCACACCGAAGGACATTAGCAATAACTTGGAGACCACTTACGGATTATCATTGCCTTATATGAAAATTTGGCGTTCTAGAGAGTTAGCAAGAGATATAATGTTCGGATCTGTGGATGAGAACTATATGTGGGTGCCTACTCTTAGATTAGAGTTACTAAACAGGAATCCAGGTTCTCATATTACATACATGTGTGACAAGAAAAGCAATGCATTTCAGCGAATGTTTGTTAGCTTCAAAGTTTGTATTGAAGGATTCATTGTTGGATGTAGATATTTGATAGGGGTTGACGCTTGTCACTTAAAGTCTAAGTACCTTGGGGTACTACTATCTGCTAATTGTTTGGATGCTAATAATGGCCTCTATACTCTAGCTTATGCCGTTGCTGAAGCTGAATCAAAGAAATCTTGGGAGTGGTTCATGAGGAATTTGTCTGAAAGCTTTGGTTGTGAAGTGCCACATTTGGCGTTCATTTCTGACATGGAGAAGGGCCTTGGTGAAGCCATTAAGCTTATTTTCCCAAATGCCGAGCACAGAGTGTGTATGAGACACCTGTGGAAGAATATCAAGAAACTTTTTCGTTGTGAAGATGGCCACATTCTACGAAATTTAGTTTGGACTGCCGCAAACACTTACAAGCTTAATGATTTTCATATGAAAATAGAGGAGATCTACAAAATAAACCCCCAAATTTACAATTACTTGGGCTCATTGTCGTGTAAGTGGTCTAAGGCGACTTTCTCAAAGTATATAAAAAATCACTACAATACAAACAATATGTCTGAATCTTTTAATGCATGGGTTGAAGAAGCTAGAAGTAAGCCAGTAGTTGATTTGGTTGACATGATTAGGGCAATGCTAATGGAACAACGCTCTCAGAGAAAACAGAACTCAAGCACTTGGAAAGGTCTTCTTGTTCCTCATGTCGAAGACTACATCAGGGACATTACTACAAGAAAAGAACAGTTTATAATTCGCCTGTCGACATCAGTTAGAGCTGAAGTTGAGGGTCTTAATGAAAGGCACGAGGTGGACATAGAAAAGAAAGAATGTACATGCGGATTATGGCAATTAAGTGGATTACCATGCATACATGGTGCTGCATTTATTGGAACTACACAGAACAACTTATGGCATTCATATGTTGATGATCACTATTATACATACAGGTATGTGACTTGATTCATTTTATTTCTGCTAACTTATTCATTGTAGTTACATAATCATCTTATGCTTTAAAAATAGGTATAAACTGTCGTATGATGGGCCTATTTCAACACTTCCTGGAAAAGAGCAATGGGTTGCAGTAAGTGATGGTGAGATGGTTAACCCACCAAATTCGCTTCGACCGCGTGGTAGACCCAAGAAAAAACGACTTAAGAGTTTCCTTGAGATTGTACACAAACCTAAACTTGGACACAGATGTAGTCGCTGCAATTCATGGGGCCATCATAAAAACACTTGTAAAAATCCACTGAATGTGGACGGTGAACGAGTACCTTCATCATCCGTTACTCGTGAAAAAATGAGTATACGTCGTCCTAGTCCTAGTACGGGGTTGTTCGAATAGATCAATGCCTGTCAATTTTTTGTTAGGATGCTAGCAGATTTTTTGTTGGGATACTTGCTGATTTTTTGTTATGATGCTAGCAGATTTTTTGTTGTGATACTTGCTGATTTTTTGTTGGAATGCTAGCAGATTTTTTGTTGGTAATGCCAAATTATGAAGTCTTGCAGATTTTTTATTGTCTTGCCATATTATAAATGCTATCATATTATTGATTACAGAACTTTTTAGATTGTATGTGATGACTTCATTGAATATGGTTACAATGAAGTTATAGCAGTCCAGGTCACAGCATGAGCATTGCTTGTTTCGGAGTCCTTCCAGGTTACAGCATGAGTATTACAATGAAGTTACAGCATTCCAGTTACCTTCAATGAGTCTTTCCAGGTATTCACAAAACATAAGCAATCACATTAAAGCAATCAATATTACATTAAAGTAATTACATAACTTCTGAATTCTAACAATATTAAAGCAATCAATGAGTCTTTCCAGGTTACACTACCTGAAAGTTACATTTACTCACTGATCTAATTACAGTTACATTTGTTCACGGTGATTGCTACAATGAAATTTAGGATAAGAACCATCACCAATATAATTTTTATTTGTACAAGCTCGGCTCTAACGGAGACAACATGAGTATTGCTTGTTTCGGCAACATTTGACCCTAAAAAACCTGCGGAGTCCTTCCAGGTTACATTTATGCACAAGTACTGGAGAATATTGCCCTTGTTGACATTTCACCGAGAAACTAACTTGCATCAAAAGCACATAACTAAGTCAGAACTTGCTAAACCAAAAACAAAACGTGAAAATTAATATGAAGACAAACCGAGACAGTAAGATAGGACGAAGATAAATCCCGAGTGGACGAAAAATCGATCGTAAGTCTGTGCGTACCAAAACCCTAAAAAACCTGCGGAGTCCTTCCAGGTTACAGCCGAGCGAAGAAAATTGCGAGGCGACTGCGGGGTCTCGAGCAGCCGAGCGTAGAGAGAATGCGAGGCGACTGCGGGGTCTCGAGCAGCCGAGCGTAGAGAGAATGCGAGGCCATCACGCAAACCTTTCTTCATGCCTCTCATCTTCCGCATTCTTTCTAGGCCGAAGCAATTTCCGCAGCTAACTATCTAATAAATAGACTTCCCTCTTCAGCCATTTCCAACCAGACTCCGTACTATAAACTTCATGGTAAACCCGCAACCTACACTCATTTACGTACATTCGGTTGCTTGTGCTTTTTGTGGCTAAAACCTTTGACTCAAAACAAATTTTCCTCTTTGTCACTGGAATGCATCTTCCTCGGTTACTCATCTCAACACAAAGGCTATTGTTGCCTAAATTTATTAACCAATCGCATCTACATATCAAGACACGTTATCTTTCATGAACATCTATTTCCCTTTCAACCGAAATTACCTCAGCCCTCTTCTGCATCTTCGGATAGTAACCTTTCACCCTAGTTGCTCGTCCCTTCATCCACAATTTCACGAACTACTCAGTGTACTTCTATGTCCACTCTGTCCTCAAGATCTATGCCTCATTATGCAAATTCCTTTCCCACATCTTCCACTAGCTGCTCTATCCGTGATATATAATCTAATCCCGAGCCCCCATCCCCAAATGTTAAATCCCATCCAATGCAGACTCGTCTAAAATCTGGCATATCTAGACCCAAGAAAATATTTGACTAATATGTTACCTCCCCTTTAGATCCTACTCTCACATCCTACTCGCAAGCCAGTAAACACGCTTATTGTAGATCAGCCATGTCCTCTAAATTTCCTGCCCTTCAAAAGCAAGGAGCATGGGCTCTTGTTCCGCCTCCGCTCAATAAACCTATATTTGGCTGCAAATGGACATTCAAGACAAAACTTTATCCCAACGGTCAAGTTGCAAGATACAAGGCTCGTCTCATTCCACAAGGTTGCTCCCAGGAATACGGCATCAACTATATTGAAAAGTTCAGTCCAGTGGCCAAAATGGTTACCATTCGCATGCTGCTTACTGTTGCTCTACACAATCAATGGACCGTCACTCAATTAGATGCCTCAAACGCCTTCTTGCACGGCGAACTCAAAGACGAAGTATATATGAAACAACCTACAGGTTTCATCGGCGCACAACATCCCCACCATGTATGTCGATTGTGCAAATCTATATATGGTTTGAAACAATCACCTCGACAATGATTCCAGCAATTCACAAATGTTCTACAATCTCTCGAATTCACTTTCAGTAAAGCTGATCTGTCTCTACTTCTTTTTAATCATAACAATACTCACATTTTCATTCTTGTCTATGTGGACGACATACTTATTACAGGAAATGATTCCTCCATAATCCAAATCATTCTTTAACAGCTTCACTCCCAAGTTAGCATAAAGCAACTCAGCGAAGTATCTCTCTTTTTAGGCATCCAGTTTCTTCAAACTCCGGGAGGATACTTCCTGCATCAACAACACAACACTCAAGAACTCATACATACAGCCAGCTTCTCCAACTGTAAATCGTGCATGACACCCATCGGTACAAAACGCTACAATCGAACCAATGAAGATCTGCCATTTCAAGATCCTCACATGTTCCGCAAGCTGGTCGGTTCCCTCCAGTACATGTCGATCACTAGACCCGACATTGCATTTGCCACAAATCTCATATGTCAACACATGCATCAACCAAGTACATCCAACTATCAAGATCTAAAACGTTTACTCCGGTACATAAAAGGTATGATCAACTATGGTCATCCAATCAAAATCGGCGACCTTCAACTCTGCACCTACACAGATGTTGATTGGGCATCCGACTCGTCCGACCGCAAATCAATCTCTGGCTTCTGCACCTTCTTGGGCCATACTCTCATCTCATGGTCCGTTAAGAAACAATCAACGGTGGAAAAATCCTCTACCGAAGCCGAGTACATGTCTCTCTCATCCGCCACTTCAGATGTTCTATGGATGCACTGACTAGCTAAAGAATTTCACATACCACAAACATCTCCGACAAAAACACTCTGCGACAACGCCTCCGCCATTACTCTCGCCAACAACCCAGTCTTTCACGCCTGGACCAAACACATTGAAATCGACTATCACTTCATCAGCGAACACATCAAGCAAGGCGCAGTAACCATTCATCACATCAGCACGACAGATCAGATCACCGATATTCTAACCAAACCCCTCTCCGCATCACGCTTATGCGATCTACGTTCCAAATTAACCATTCGTCCGCCATAATGATTAATTTGAAGGGGTTGTTAGAGCAGCAATACACGTCACCTGATGACTCATCAAGATCTGTACGGGCAAATCAAGATTGCCTTTTCCTGCACTTACTTTCTATGTATACTATGTATTTTGTAACTCTGTTTAATTAATCAAAGCATTCATTATCTCTCCCTCTCTCTCGGCTTGGTCGAGCTCCTCTTCCTGGTCTTGGTTCTCTGTCACAAACTATGCAGTCCAACGTAAACAATGTATGATAAGCAGAGCTTCAAGGCGCAAAAAATCGAGGTCATATAGGAATTAAATAAATCATTCTTACAGAAAAATTCGAATAAGTTTTCACGAGTACAATAGAACAATATGCACATGTTAGGGAATAAGGTAGAGGAAAAGCATACCAGGAACTGTTATCTCTTCACCAATTGTTGCATGCAGTGAGAAGAGAATCTGCCCTGTAACTTTCTGACGTATGAGAACAAATAAGGAAGCATTGAGTCCATGGCTTCTAAGAATCATACCCTCAAGGTGAGATTATAAAAACACATGCCTAGGAAGGTCAATAGAGCTGCAGCCTGCATCTTTCTGACTTGATTGTTGTTGCATTAATTTTCTTGTCCTCCATGCATTTTCCCACAAACTAGCTGTCGCATATATATTTGCAAGGACAACATAGTTTACTGATTTTTGAGGATATAAG